GCAGATTTGAACCGTTAAAGAATACCTGGTCAGGCTCCACTCACCACAGAGCGCGATCCAAACAATGAGGATTAATAAAAGGGAAAAGGGCCCCTAAAAAGGAAATAAGAAGAAAAACTTACTCAGTCAAAGTCTCACTGAATTCTGATATTTCTTCGTTGTCCTTTGGAGGTACTTCTTTAATCAGGCATGTGACTACCCATGATACATTCATCTCCCACTATTTGCATCAGATCGCAGTTGTCTTTATTTTCGGGTTATCGTCTTCCATCTGTAGCCATTCTAGTGAAATTCCAATGAAAAGGTAAGGTGTCGAATTGGGTGAGAAGACACTCGGAACAAAGTATGGGAGGAAGACAATTAAGAGAAAGCAGCCAATCCAATGAAGAAAACTGCAATACGATGCAAATAGTGCGAGATGAATGTATCATGAGTGGTCCACATGCCTGATTAAAGAAGTACCTCCAAAGGACAACGAAGATGAAATTCCAATGAAAAGGTAAGGTGTCGAATTGGGTGAGAAGACACTCGGAACAAAGTATGGGAGGAAGACAATAAAAAGCAAGCAGCCAATTCAATGAAGAAAACTGCAATACGATGCAAATAGTGCGAGATGAATGCATCATAAGTGGTCTACATGCCTAATTGAAGAAATACCTCCAAAGGACAACAAAGATGAAATTCCAATGAAAAGGTAAGGTGTCGAATTGGGTGAGAAGACACTCGGAACAAAGTATGGAAGGAAGATGATTAAGAGAAAGCAGACAATCCAATGAAGAGCTGAACCCAACTGGGGAGAGAGGAGCACAAGCAGGACATAGAAGTCTATCCAGATCAGTACGAGGATAAAGGTGTGAAACGGAAGGAAAGAAAAGTTATCCTCATGAGCTGCCAAAATGTTAGGGAGGAAAAATGATCCTGAGAAAGGAGAAGATATGTCAAAGGATAAAGAGTATGTGAAACATTGGTGGCAAATAATCAGTCCACTGATGTCCACAAGGAGAAAGAAGGAAGACATAAGAGAAGGTGAAACAAGGAGCACTGGGAGAGTGGTTTGAACGTAGGCAGTGCAGGACCATATCAATATCCCCATCCGGAGGGGCAGCTTGCCATAGGAGACGACAAATCCAGAAGGAACACATCCACAGGTAAAGTGTAGGAGAGGTAAATACCTTGGGAATTGGGAAAAACAAAAGGTGTGGAACAGGAGCATCCAAAAATCCAAGACCGAGGAGACAAAAGACCCCCGATACAAAAGTCAAGGGAAGAAATCTGCATGATGAAGAAGAATGGGTTGATTAAGGGAAAACCCTGGACCAAACAATTGTAAAATTCCATTTTAGTTGAGAAATTTCCATGTAGAAAGGGCGAATGAAACATGCCAGAAAAAAGGATAATCATCGGGAGAAGCCATATCACCTTACCAATGACCAGAGGGAAAACTAGGCATGACAGGAAGGTCTTGATGTAGCACCGGTGACTGAGGGTAGCAAAGAGGGGACAAAGGTAACAGAGAAGGAAGTTGGAGCTGGAGACGCCATGGAAACCACAGCTGTGACGGCCAGAAAAGAGCTATCAGAAGGACTGAACATGGAGTGTCAAAGATGAACAAAATCACCCGGAGAAGAAGGAGAATGGTAGGATAGACAAATGTGTAAATCCAATCCTGACTGAAAACATCAACAGCCAGAATAAGAATACAAGGAACAGGAGACCAAAACCAAGGCAATTTGTGGTTAAGGGACATAGCAAAAGCCTCAATGTAAAGAGTACCCCACAAAAGTCAAAGCCATTGGAAAAAACAAAGTATCAAGAGACCACTCTGTAGAATAAATGTTGTCTAGACAGGAATCCGATCCAATATGCCCCCATCCCCAAATGGATGTATCCATGAAATGTGGAAAACCAAATGAGGAGGACAAAGCAGGACACCAGCTGATGTGTGAGTCATATCTAACCACCAACACCAATCATTGATCAAGAGGAAAGCACAACACGAGAGCATGTAATGAAGAATGAATGCTCTGAATTCCCATCAAAACATAAAGGGCCAAAGGGAAGTGCATAAAACAGAGAAACGACTCCATGGAAAATAGGAAGAGAGTATCACGAGTGATGAAATATCGGGATATGCAAATAAGTATTTATGACATTCCTCTTTGTCATCGGTAAACCTGGAGAAAAAGCCCACCTAAGGGTGAGAAATGACTCCAAGGTAAAACAGGGCAGATTGAAAATTAGAGTGAAGAGGAACAAACCTAGAGCAGGTCATCAGTCTCCAGTTTGAAGCGAGGACAACAAACAGCCTGGAGAGAGGTGATGAACAGGTATAACGGCCCATAGAGATAGAAAATCTTGTACCACTTCAGACAGACGTAGGCTGGTGGCAGGATCCCAAGTCATGGGGAAGGAAAAGGGGCAAAGAAAATGGGAAAAGGAATAGTAGGACAAGTCCCTCTGATAAGACCAGAAGAACCCATGGAACTGTAGTGAAAGATCACCAAAGAGTAACAATATAATATAGTAAACCTCCCACTGTACTGGAACCCTTTGGTTAGTCTCTGGTACTATTAGCAAAATGCCCATCAAGGTTGAATAAAATTACGAGATGAGAAACCCCTGGAAGGGGGACAGGGATGGGTATATAAGGACAAGGATGGGAAAGGAATTCAGGCATGTCATGTATCCAACTGCGACAAACATGCAACCAAAGAGGACAGGGTTGAGTGTTGATGCACAGATTACACACGAGATTTCAAAGTCTCAGGTACATAATCAAAAATATATCACCAAAGAAAAAATACATAAAGAGGTGGCAAATGTACCCGACTCGGAAAATACCAACTAGAGTGAAAACGTGTGTAAAGTGAGAGCCGAAGAGGACAAACAAGCCAACATGGAGGTAATAAGGAATCACAGAAAAATGGGGAATTGGATAAAACAAAACATACCTGAGAAATCATGTCGAAAAATGCCATATGAAGCCTAGCTGATTCTGCAAGAGGGGTAAGGAAAAATATGACAAAATCTGGTGGTGTAAAAAGGCTATCAAATCTTCATTGGCCCAACCAAGTTTGGCTTGTTCAAATGGATTAGTGGGGCAAGTTAATGGATAACAGCAAAGAAATCCAATGACAAGTCTCCTCCACCTACAGCCTGTGAAAATAATGCTAGAGGTATAATACCCAAAGTGGAAACATGAACCTCAGAATTCATTGTAGAAATACATAAATCAAACAAAAGTTTTTGATGTAAAATATATGAGTGTGAGAAATAAAATAAAGACTGGGAAATTAAGTTAAGTTAAAAGATTTCTTCTATGTAAAGAAAAAAAAAATAATAATGAAGAAATCCCACTTTGGAAATTAAATTATTAAATACATGATTCACACAAAGAGCACCAAAAGAAAAAAACGTCTGGATACGAGTAATGCCAAAGGAGAAGTGATAGTTTGGTAGAATTGAATAGAGGGAGTCATATGTGTCATGAGAGTATGATGCACTTTTATTGGTAGAGGGTTGACACATGATGATTTGCATGAGAGATGCATTGGAATCAGTCAATTCCAATGGAGAGGAGATAGAAGGTTGTGGAAAGTGTAAACAATTTTTTTGCACATAGAAGGCAGCACTGAACTAGAATAACTATTTATGTGAGAAGAGGTGATGTGCCATATTGGAATTTGATACTTTTAGTGATCTAATGTTTACATAATATCAATAATAAGTATTTCTTGTCTTCTTAAAAGACAGATGGAATTCTAAAGTATAGTTTGTTCAGAATCGAGCCAAACTGAGTTAGTTTAGTATTACTGGCTTAAAGTTTAGAGCTTTTTCAAACGTTCTTTCATATACTAAATGATTGTCAAATTACTATTAAAGTCTACAACACAATCTATTTGTGACCCCCACTCAACATCATTATGAAAAAAAATCTCACTTAATACAGGGGTTTTTGTTTATTTCTTGATAAGTACAAAGTTACATAATAGGCTATCTGTGCGGTACCCACCATGAGTACACAAGGGATTTACCACCTGTGAGAAAGATATTTTACCAATTAAACCTGTGCATATGTCCTTCTAGTGTTCCAGTAAAGTTTTTTCAACTATACACTCAAATTGTACAAACTCTAATTATAACCTCAAACACTTTATGAGTAACATCTCAAACTTTCTTCACACCATAATGTGTAAATACACTATACCTGTAAATGAAATTGTTCTTAATTGTACAATTAAAAATTATTAAAGAGATTCAAGAAATATTACTTTTGTACAAAAAATTTATTTAAATAACATATTTGAAAGGTATGATTCTAATTTATGGGTATCGATTTAATTTCCCCAAAGGGGGGGCTTAAGGCTGCCTGGAAGAGTCACTAGTTTTTAACCATTTACACCACTATACAGTAGTGTGTCTGTCAGTCAGTCAGCAGGCACTAAAACGATGTTACATGAGGGATGCTTAACATTGCAATTTGTACTGTCATAACATCAGTAAAATATGCAATACCATGAACTACAAGAGTTATGCACTCTACAGACCACAACGTAACATATGAACTTCAAAACCAAGAAATAAAAATATTTGTTATTCTTAATTATTTCTTAATTTCTCTTGAAATTTACTCTTTTGGGTTCTCCTGCCACCCAGGGGGATGCACCCTACAGTTTGGATACCACAGCCTAGAAATATGTTTTGCTAGTAATTTAAATGATTTATTGGTGAACTGCAAGAAGTGTGCAAGTTCCAGTTCCTAATTTGTCTTACTGAGATACAGTATATGGAAGAGCTTCATGCATTTCAACAAAACAAAAAATACTAAGCAAATATAAATATATTTAAAATCAAGCTAAAATCACATAAAGAAAACTAAGAACAGTTAACATATTTCAAATGACCCAGTCAGTCATTTTAGTGTTGTTTTTTTTTTGTTTTGTAGCTTGTAAAATTACAAAAACCAAAATAAAAAAAGGATTTTAAAACATAAAACTTACTAATTCTTCTTCAATGACTATACCAGGCATGGTAAGCTGGTCTTTGAGAGGGAAATAGGTTCCTGGAGGAGATGTTACCATGGAAATTAAAGCTTGGCGGGTGAGCTCAGTGGGAATCCAAGCATCAAAATGTTGACACTGATCACTTCCTCCTAATGAAGTCAAGAAAGTTTCTTCTTCCATAACAGGAGATGAAGAGGTACAAGTAGAGAATGAGCTTTTGTTTTTTGATGGCACTCCACTGCATACCAACTCATCAGAAATACAATGAGACTGACTCATTTTAATAGGAGAAGGAGACACTAGGTCAGGACCACTAGAGTTTAAAGCATCAAAAAAAGCTTTTCCAGTTCCATCACCTCCACTTTTGTCTTCTACAAAAAACTGGCTTATTGCATGCTTTTTATCATTTACTTCAGGTTCAGCCAAAACTTGTTCAACTTCATTTGTCCCGGTAATCTCAGGTTCATCAGGAACTCCAAATTCTACTTCTCCTCCAATGGTAAAGCTTACAGGTTCTGATTCTGTTGCATCTAAGGCTAGTTGAGATTCTGTTGAAATCCCTTTAACATCTCCTGCAAATACTTCATTTCCTGGCAATACAGTTATGTCAGAAACACTCTTCATCATTGGAGAAAATTCTGAAGAAAAATTTAAAGTGTCAAAAAAGTTATGGCCCAAAGGATCTCTTGAAACATGTCCATCAGGTGGTGAACATGAAAAATACTGACTCAAACTTGGCTGTTGCAATGCATCAGTGGATTTTTCTTCCTATGCACATGAAACCATTTGAGATAAATACTATGTATTTACATGCTAAAAAAATAAACATTTGAATTATAGAAAAAGAAATGCTGAAAGTCATTAAACTACACAGAAATGGTAAGACAGTCAAGGTTATGCTTGCAATTTAATCAATGAAACGCAAGTACTTCTTTTAGAATAAGTCATAATATGAAGCAACCAGAGAATTAAAAGTTAAATATAAAACATATAATGAATAATACCGTCACAAAACTAGTCTCTATCTTAATTTTAAATAATGTACAAAATTACTATAACTCATACACTTGTGTTTGGAAATGAATGCTATAAAAATTGAAATTTTACTTAATCTAAATCACATTCAAGTAAATTTTAAAGTATAAATCTAAAAACTATATTACTGCAACATTTTTTCATTTATAAAATACTAAAACTTGTAAACTACACACCTAACGACAAAAATAAGAAGTTTCTGTGAGAGAGACAGTACCTGTAAACACAAAAAGTGAGCAATAATGATATTACAAATACTTTTGCTATGTGCATTGTCATCATCAATATGAAATTTTCATGCATCATAAATATTCAACTGACACTGTATGTGTATGTATCAGCACATTTAATGGATTAATCTACAACAAAGTTGGATTTCTTTCTGGTAATAATAAAAACACAAACACAGGTTTGCTAATTGTCATATATAATGCACATTTATGGTAAATTTAACACAATAAAATGTGTATTGGAAAACCATGTAATAAATCACTTAATATGGAACTAAAGCATATAATACTGTTGTCCTGGTATGAAAACATAGTCCTGTGAATTTCAATAGCTCATTGAAGTTTTCTATGACTTTTCTCAACAAAAATAATAGGTTCTAACACATCCTCTGTTTATAAAATCCACATAAATATGTAGAAGAAAAAATTTAGACTGACATGAATATAAATAACTGAGTAGTATCGTAATAATGTATTTTTGGTACTTTAATTGCAGGGAATTTTGGAGGAAAATCTTGTGTAAGAGTAGGCTTACCATTTTTGAAAGAAAGATTTGTTGTTAATACTACATGTTTACCCATGTGAAAAAAAAAAGCAAATTGACTTCTGGATCCCTCTTATAAAAATGTTGCATTTTGAATCTAAAAAGTTTATTTTAACTTTAAAGATACTTGATTTAGGTGTTTACAAATGCAGAGTTTGAATGATCAGCCTATGTGAAATCTCCATAAAAAAAGACCAGGAATAAAATTGGTTCTAAGTTTAAACTTTGATAGCTTAAATCCATACATGATTTTTGACTGAATTATTTTGTTGTCCTTATACACTTGAAGAATGATTTGCCTCTTAATTTTGACTGTGTTTTTCCTTTATATTAATCAGTAAAATTTGTTTGGCCAGAACATAATCTGGGATTTTAGGATGAGGAGCAGAACTTCTGAAAGTTTTGCATTTCCTTGCATTGTTTTATCTAATTTTTCTACTGATATACTGATTATTGATTTAATCAATTTTTATAGCTCATGGTCAAATGAAATCAAATTTCAAACAAGTGATATTAAACAAAACATTGATTATATTTCCTATTCAAAACATGTGCCACTAATCTCTGAATCTGCTTTTAAAATTTTAGTTCCATTTCAAACTTTACACTATGTTACAAAATACCCTGTGGAGGAGATTTCCATTTATTTAACTGTGTTATGTAACAACATGCACACGTGTTCATTCTTTACCTAAAAAAAGTTTGTTAAAGTAACAAGCATAAATAATAGGTACTGAAAATAGATACATCAAAGTGTTTTTGATTAAAATGTGTATTTTTTGTCTTTAAGTACAACAGCTAAAGAAAATTGATATGTACTGAATATGTAACAACTAAAAGCACAGTACTAAAGTTATTTTAAAATAAAACTGTTTCTTAATTAGAGATGTTGCACAGAATACTCATATACAACCGGTTGATAGTTAAACTAACAAAATTAAACCCTGTAGAAATAATTTATACGTTCATTCCTTCAGCTCTTCGAGCTAATGTCTAAGCATCATTATTTCTAAGTTTTTGAACCAACAGCATATTGCCTATAAGAACAATCCAATTGAAAGTTAATAACGCTTTTTTGCAGTGATATTTTTACATCTTTACAAAGAAAATGCACAAAACCAATAAAATACATTATAAAGATGTCAAAAATATTAACAGACAAATAAAAGGCTACAAGTTAGAGATGGAAAAAAACAGTGAATATGATATTAGAGAATGGAGAAACAGTATTTGTAACAGCAAGATAACAGTATCAGAAAGAAAAAGGGGTGTGTGGGCCCAAACTTGGTAACCAACATCATAAATCTCAGATTTGGTGCTTTAGCTGGTTGTTCTGTTGGATGACCCCAATAAGCAGGGGTGTGTGGGCCCAAACTTGGTAACCAACATCATAAATCTCAGATTTGGTGCTTTAGCTGGTTGTTCTGTTGGATGACCCCAATAAGCTGAATAGCCTTCTGTCATTTAGATCATTCTGATTGGAAAAGTTGGGAAGAGAAAACAAAGCAATTTTAGTACAAAAGATAAAGAGTTAGTATCATATAAGGTAAGAATTGGAAAGATAATCTGGTCATATGTGAATAACTTTAATTTAAGTCTGTTGGATTACCTGAAATATAATTTGGGGTTGAATACGGTGTTTACCAAAATCATCAAAAACAGATGCAGTTGAGTTTTGACCACCTTCTTTGCTCTGGCTCCCTGTAGTTCCTTCTGCCTTGTCTTCAACACTATCACAAGTTGAAACCAATGCATCTATTTCATTGTTTGCTTTTTGGATCATGACTATTTCTTTCACTGCAGGCAGTACAACTGTTTTATCTGTAACAATAGTGTCATTGTCAATCATACAACATGTATAATTTGTTACATCTGACTTTTCTTTAGATTCCAATTCTGTAGCATCTAACACTTCTAGTGACACTGTCTCCATTTGGCCAAAATGAGGGTAGGAGTTGACTCTCGAAAGAACAGCATCTTCAAGTGTAGTGCCAAGGTCTAGTGAAGCTGGAATAAGAGACTGACTTGTTTCCTTATCTGCAATAACACCTCCAGCTTTCACTGTTTGATCTAGTTGGTCATCAATAACTAAGGTAGAAGTTGCTTCTTCTCCCTGAAAATTCAATACTGTTGACTCTGCAACTACTACATCTTTCAATTCAGATTGATCAGTTAATGACTCTTGATCCATAACACTTCCACTTGTGAGTACATCAAAATCATGGTTTGTTTCCATGGCAAGAACAAAAAATTAATCTGATATTCTCTTTATGAATACTACTTAAAAAAGTAAAACAACAATCAAACTTTTGCTCCAAAGAATAGTTAACAGTCTCTTTCATCACATTAGCATTTCAAATTGCAGATCCAATATATATAGTTGAAGTGGTAGAGGTCAGCATAAGATTATAATCCAGAAAACTATAAGAAGAAAAAAAAAAGATGTTTAAAAAACAAGCAACCTAATTTCTTAAACTATGCTGTAATAGTGGTCAAACAAGCTTCATACTTAATTATTCCATCAAAAAGTACTTAATCTACATTGTATATTATGTAGTTTCAAATCTAGTGTTGAATAAAAAAGCACATACAGTTTGGTTTGATTTCATGCAAAGCTACATGAGAGCTACCTGCACTAGTTGACCCTGTGACAATCCACCACCAACTATTGGGCTACTCTTTTATCATTGAATAGTGGGATTGACTGTCATATTATAATGCCCCCACCATTGAAAGGGTAAGCATATTTGCTGGGAATGGGATTTAAACCCATGACCCGCAGATTGCGAGTAAAGTGCCCTCACTACCTGGCTATGCCAGGCCAGCACATACAGTAACTAACACTAAATCAATAATGAATAAACACATCATCACTGAAGCTTTCTTATAGTCACTAAACATGGCCCCTTTCATTTTCTAACAAATATACATAAATATTATTACTTTCTAATGAAAAGTACAATTACGTGGATAAGCTATTTTTTATGTACACACATCCAATGTGATGGAAGGATAACATGGATTTATGCACGTTGTTGGGTCTTCACTTTTGTACCAAAAAAACATTAGCTGACCTAACAATACAAGAAGATATTTGACCTTAAGGGAGACAAAGGGAATGCTACAAAATGTCCAATATACATTAATCTAAAACTTTTTCTGCCAAATTTTGTTATTCAAACTTTCAAATAACACATTAAAAAATAAGATTATCCTTACTGCACTTCAGGTTTTACCAGAATCTACCACCAACACTTGATGTGAATGAAGGGCATATAGTAAATAGTCTTGGACATTTAGCCAGTAAAAAAAAAAAAAAAATGGTCATTTAACCAGTCACTTATCTTACTTACTGTTTTTTATCTTAATTTTATATATTAAATTTTACTGAATATAATGTAAGTAATGTAAACTAAATGAAAATAATAAAACAAGCAGTTTATGATTTATTTCCAACCTTCCAACAACAAAGCCAGTGCTACATTTTGTCATTGTGTATCATAAATAATATTACCAGACATAATACTAATAACTATCTTTTCTTTTAATAATATGCCATTATTACAAAGTTATATTACAAGTTTGAAAAACCAGAGATACTGGCAGCATAAAATTCAAGGATATTACAATACATCATAGTATAACATCACCCCTCCCCTATAAAGGTTTCAGCGGGTGAAGAGCAGGGACCCATTAAACACATGTATTATGTTAATGGATTATTTATATCTAAATAGGGTAGAAGCTGGCTTGTTTGCAAGGACTACCAATTCAGTTGTAACATAACATAATGATCTGGGACATCAAGGGACCAATTGGTCCATCTTGTCTGTTCCATCCTCTAAACTAAATTAAAATAATTAAAAAATAAAATAAAAAAATCTTAGAGCCAGCCCTTATCATTCATATCAATATTTTTCTTAAACTTAAATTTACTGCCTCTACAACAGCTGAAGGCAACCCATTCCAAAGGCCAACCACACTGTTAGAAAAATAAAACTGTCTTAGCTG